TGTGTGTGTGTGTGCGTGTGTGTCTATGCGTGTATGTGTGTATATGTGTGTGCACGTGTGTGTCTCAGCGTGTGTGTGTGTGTGCGTGTGTGTGTGTGTGTGTGTGTGTGCGTGCGCGCGCTTGTGTTTAAGAATGTATGTATGTACATGCGTATGTATGTATATATCATTGTATGTATGTATATATGTCAGCATGTATGTATGCACAAGTGCAATCTTCCTCTTCTAACCACCTCCCCCCACCCGTCATCTAGATATCTTCACCGTCCAGAGTGGCCTGGAGGCCCTGCAAGCTGACCTGGCTGACGTCAAAGCCCGCTACTGTGTCTGTGACGACGGCAATGGAGGAGGGTCAGGACATGGAAGCCACAAACCCAGTAAGTGATCATCGTAGTATTATAAAGGCTGGTTTCAAAGTTACTACTTTCTTCATAATACTCGAGCCATAGGCGCGCTCCGCATGTTTATGCTATTGCCAGAACACTGAATCTCCTTTTGAAATTTTTTGGGACAGACTGTTACTGTCACATAATAGTGTCTGAGGTAAGTCTAATTTTCTCGAAAACTACTCAACGAAACTAAAAATTTTAAAAACCCAACTGTTATTCAGTTAACTACAATGATTGCTTGCTCCCTACAAACATAAACATTACTTCGTATTTCTTTGAATGTGCATATTTTCTATTTTTGTTCTTGTGGATCTCCCTCCTCAACGTTGAATGTCCTGGCAACAGCAGAAACGCGAGGAGCGTGCCGCGCCTTTGGCTCAAATCCTCTGACTCTGACCTACCATCTTTCTTGGGTGACAGATCAAATTGCGGTTTTTAATTAACGAAGACCTAAACTTCATTAAAAGACAAAGAATAGAGAAATATCCGTCTCGTAGTCGGGATAAAATGCCTTATTTTCTAATTGTTGACATTGGTCCTGTGAACACTAATTAAAAATCCAGAATGTTATATTTATAATATCATGGTCTACATGTTAGACTACTTAGTAGTACTCATATGAAAAGAAATCTTAAAGAGTCAAAAGTCTAAATTTTTTCACGTAATCAAAAAAATGGTACCTTTCTTTTGATCGCCAGTATAATAAATTATTTCCAACCTGTGCGAGATATTCAATACCCTTGCGATAGCACTTTTTAAAAAAATGTAAATCTATTTCTTTCTTTTTTCGTAATATAGTTTTGATCTTTTAAGCTGTCATTTCAGGTTGGCTCCGCCTTTCACCGTCTCACCATTCTGTTCTCTCCTCCTTCTACAAAATTCTCAGCCACTAATCGCATTCGCTCCTCGGCAGCTGTGGCCTTCAGTGCGAGGGTGTTCAGCACACAGGAATCCGCGAGCCTCACGAAGGAAGTGGTTCCCTTCAACATGGCGGAGCTGGACACCAACAACGCCTTCAACGAGACCTCGTCCACCTTCACGGTCCCAGAGGACGGCCTCTACGACATCGCTCTCACTCTCACCGGAGACGCCTACTCTGCAAAGTGAGTGCCACTGCTTCTTCTGTGGGGTTTTTGTTTGTCTGTGTGTGTGTGTGTGTGTGTGTGTGTGTCTGTCTGTCTGTCTGTCTGTCTGTCTATCTGTCTGTCTGTCTGTCTGTCTGTCTGTCTGTCTGTCTGTCTGTCTGTCTGTCTGTCTGTCTCTCTCTCTCTCTCTCTCGCTCTCTCTCTCTCTCTCTCTCTCTCTCTCTCTCTCCCTCTCTTTGTCTGTCTCTCTCTCTCTGTGTCCCTCTCTCTATCTCTCTCTCTATCTATCTATCTCTCTCTCTTTGTCTCTCCCTCTTTGTCTCTATCTATCTATCTATCTATCTATCTATCTATCTATCTATCTATCTATCTATCTATCTATCTATCTATCTATCTATGTGCCTGTCTGTCTGTCTGTCGTATGTTTGCATGTCTGTCTATTTGTCTGTCTGTTTGCCTATTTATATCTCTGTCTGCCTGTCTCCATGTCGCTATCTGTGGCTGTCTGTCTACCCCTCTACTTGTCTGTCTGTCTGTCTTGTCGGTTGTTATTCTGCTCATAGGTTTGAATTATACCCAAGATAGCTGCTCATATCTCTCTAACAATCTTGCAGCAAAGCACGCATGCTATGGACCCCCAAATGGAAAACACAACACCACTGTAGCGATCTAGTCAAGTGCATGCGGCACTTTTCCAGCTTTGACCTTCATAATTTGTCTCCAAATTGAACCAAATTGCGCGCTCCATAGTGAACTGGGATGACGTCAGAGTACACGATCTAGAATATCTATTATATATTTGGCAACTTGGAAACACATGTGTCACTTTTCCCATAAAACTACGACAGCTACAGAGTTGGAAGTTGGCAAGTACCTGCAAAAAGATAGATTGATCTCCTTGAAGGAGCCCGATTTTTTTTCTCCTGAATTTAGAAAAATATATTTGACAAAAAGTTCCCGTTCTTCTTTGGCCTTTGTGATTATCCCACTGAGAAACGAAACAAATCTGCGTGTTCCGTCCGTCACAGTGATATTTCGCGAAGTGCATTTTGTTTTGAGAGCACATGTATAGATCTAGACTTTCTAATTTTTTGCATCTCTCAAGATTTATTGCTCCATTCCAGTAGAGTGTAAATATAGTAGGCCAATGACTTTCAGTTCATGTTAATGCACCGATCATTCCTTCCATCGAAAGGGGGCCCAGCTAGTTGTAATATAAGTCTATGGTTCTGCCAATGTCTCTGTTATAATTAAGCCACTGTCATGTAAAACCTATCAACTGTGTGAAAAGAGGACGTGGAATTTAAAATGTTCCCCGCTCTTATTTCTTAACAGTAACAGTTCGACCAGTCAAAACAGTGGTGCGCAAACGAGGTTAGTGGTTGAAGGATACCACTATAATAGTCCGGGCAACACCAAATGGACAACTTGTCGACCTCATTACACCAAATCAAAGTGGCACATTGCTCTGGTTTTTCCTGCATGCTATGAATTCTAAAAGACCTAAAAAGAATCTTGCTTTTCGTGCATATGCGACAAATGTAAAGGGGTGCTGTTTATATAATCATTAGTAATTAATTGCTCCTTAAACTCAACACCACTCCCCATCACCAGGGCAGTACTACTGACTGAAGTTGCCTTTAGGCTATTACCAAAGGGGGGGGGGGGGATATTAACATGTTCTTATGCACAGTAGAATTGTAAATGAGCTGATATATCAATGTCACGCTCATGCTGTACCGGAACATCATGGGGGAACTGCTGCTTTTTCTTTCCTCATCCTTACTATCGTCATTTTCCCTCTACTTCTTTTGTATGTTTTTCACTCTCTTATGAACTGCTATTTCCGGGGTGCCTTGATAGTCGAAGCAGACTTCGTGCTGTTGAGTGTTGAGGCTAGAGAGGTGAGCAGAGTAAGCCTCATTCCCCGTTTGGACTTCTCTGTTGACATCCACCTCTTGGCGCCCATATGATCGTACACAGTTGCGAGCGCCGTAAAACCTTACTAAAAAAACGCACCAAAAAACACCCACCTCAACACCGGGCACTTTTTAAAGCAAGCACGGTACCATACTAAAACCCTAACAACAGGGTGTCGTGCAGGGGGAGATACAGTTCGGTTAAATCCAAAACCGGGGGTGAACAGGGCGCTAAATTTGAACCGCTAATGGGCACCCCCCTCCCCGGAACATACATTTTCGAGCCACCTGGGTAGTCTTGAGGCATGCCTTGTCCTTTTTACGGGATTTTTTAAATTACAGAACAAAAGAGACGGCCTCGATCAGCTTCTTTGGAGAAATAGTTGAGCAGTTTTAGGGCAACATTTTTGGGGGTTTGTAAATTAATTTGTCTAACCATGGTGATTCACGAAAAAAGCAGCCTACGTAGTCAGTTCAAAAGAAGAAAACAAGTTGAACAAAACCAAAAAATAACACTCTACTACCGTTCTTGTTCTAATCAAAGAGCCCCGCCCAGACTGTAATTAAATACTAATGTTTAGACAGAAAACACCTCTTTATTATATTTGTCGCATATGCTCAAAAATCGAGATTTCTTAAAGGTCTTTTGGAATTCAGAGGCGCATACAAAAACTCCGAGCAATTCGCTACTTAAATTCTATGTAATGCGGTCGACAAGTCGTCCATTTTGGTGTTGCCCAGACTATAGTAAGCCTTGCTTCTTTTCTTTTTCTCTGTTGTTTTTTGTCTTGCATAGATTGCATGCATCTTCCCTGCACTATACGATTTTTAAATGTGTCGATGTGCCTCTCTTTACTCAAACAAAACAATTAGGCCTACTCAAATGAGCCTCTTAGTTTACAGACATTCGCCCTCTCCTCTCTCTCTCTCTCTCTCTCTCTCTCTCTCTCTCTCTCTCTCTCTCTCTCTCTCTCTCTCTCTCTCTCTCTCTCTCTCTCTCTCTCTCTCTCTGTGTGTGTGTGTGTGTGTTTGTGTGGGGGGGGGGGGGGGCATGCCACAACTTAACCAGATTGTTTTGTGCCCTTGGAGGTATGTGGCGTCGGTGGCCTAGTGGTTAGGCTCTCGGACTCGCAACCGTAAGGTCGTGGGTTCGAATCCCGTCAGGGACCCGACGTTGTGTCATTGGGAAAGGCACTTTGCACAAATTCTCCTCACTTCACCCAGGTGGAAATGGGTACCCAGCTATAGACAGTGAAAGATCTTGTCAGTTTGATAGTGTTTGAGCGCGTGAAATCCGCAGCTTGCACTGTACGCTTCCGCAGAAGCTGAGAATGTTTCTGAGTGTTCTCAGAGGGTCTGCTGGGGTAATAATAGTTGTAAAGCGCATAGAGCAAGCTCTTGAGCATGGATATGCGCTATATAAATGCAATTATTATTATTATTATTATTATTATTATTAAAAGTGCTGGTGACTGAGCAGTGAGTACAATGTATTAAACAGTTCCTTGTTTTTTTTATATAAAGGAAAGAAACAAAAATTCCACTATTGTTTAAAGCTACAATTTTGGGCAGGTTGATAAAGTGACGCTTTTTTAAGTGCTTTCAACAGTATTATATTATTGCCTGTTACTCCCCAGTTTCGAGGCGACTTTGAAAGTGAACCACGTGACCAAAGCCGCCATGCTGGTGCGCCACGACCAGACGAGCTCTCTCACAGTGAACCTGAAGCTGGTCAAAGGTCAACAGCTCAGAGTGGAGGCCACTTCCGCTTCTGGAGCTTCCGTCCGGACTGAAAGGTTCAGCTCTTTCTCCGGGACCTTGCTCAACTGAGTGGGCCCAGGAGTGTGTTCCGCGAGATAGTTAGCTCTTCTTCTATTGCAGATACATTATAGAAAGCGAACGTCCTCGAAAGCCGATGATAACATTTTATAATTAATCAATGAGCGTTTGATACTGAATTGTTTTAAAGGAGATGATGTTTTCTGTGTACTTAGAAAGATGAGGCAATGAAGGTAATAAATTTCAGAAAGGAAACACTTTTATCTGAAGAAGTCAATTTCATGAAATAAAACCAAAGTTTATTGGGGGGGGGGGGGGGGGGGGTTTAGGTATTTGTATTCGTTGTTGCTGTTGTTGTTGTTGTTGTTGTTGTTGTTGTTGTTGTTGTTGTTTTTGTTGTTGCTGTTGTTGTTGCTGTTGTTGTTCGTTTTGTTTTGTTTTGTTGGGGGTTTTTGGGTTTGGGTTTTTTTGTGTGTTTTTTTTTGGGGGGGGGGGGTGTAAAAGAAGGACGTCTATTTCTGACAGAGGTAAAAACTTTTTTTTTTCCAAAATCGAAAAACGTCGATTCCAAAGCTGAAAACAAATATTTTTATGGACCAAGGCTGTTTTGTTTGTTGGTTGGTTTGGTTTGGTTGTTGTTGTTATTTTAAATTTCGGTTTTATGAAAAATCAAAGCAAAACGCCTTCAGCAGCGTGGCACCAGTGGCAATATCTATTTTACGGAGCGTCGATTAATACGAATGTTCCCCCCTTCAAAAAAAAAAAAGTGACATGTCTTGTAGCTTCTATACAGTCTTTGGCCGAGCTCACAAATTATTTTGGTACAGAACAGCGGAATTCTCAAAGACAACCGTTCATTCACAATAAACAGCTACAAATATGATGGGTTTTTTTTCAAATGTTCTATTTTAAATTCTTTTGGTGCTATGGTTTGTCAATGCGTGACCACATAGTGCAGAAAATGCAGTGATTGTAATATTATATATCATTGCGCTCTTTTTTTAAAAAAAACACCATTGGCTGGAAAAGCACTCAACATTTGCTGTTCAGATGAAAGGCTTTGCTTGATGCAAGTTTGATCCCATACTCATACAATGGAAGTACAATCGAACCTGCTGCAATATATATATGAGGTATATATATAAGACCATCACCTGTACAAACAGCCTCTTCCCGATATCTCATTTGCATATTTCTTTACATCATAATGACCCTGTGTAAGATGTTCATTTGTGTCACACGCGGAGGAATCAGGCGCACGTCAGTATTTGGCCATGTAGAGTTATTGGTATAATTTTAAAGCTTGTTTTATTTGCCTTGATTTCGATTTTTTAAAAGTACCCATTTTTCTTGAATAGAAGTCGAGATGTTTGAGATTGAAGGAGAAGGCGGTTGCCGAATTTCAGAGGTAAAATTATCGAGAAAATGGCCGCCAAAGTTTGGTGATTTCCATGGTTTGAGAGTCCTTAGAAACTGAAAATTTACATTTCATGTGCCTTTAATCAATGTTTTTCAGTTTGTAAAAAATCCGCACATATTCAATGTTTTTTAAAATAAATAATGAAAATAAAAGATGATGAGCAAAAATACCCACAAAAGTTCTAGAAATTGCCAAACCGGCAGAAAAATGCCAATCTCTTTGATTTCATTATTTTGACGAGCGCCTGATTTCACTACGATGCCTCACGTTAGTCGAGGTCTAATGCTGAGGTACGGGACAGAAGCCCAAACGCAGTGGGCCAACATGAAGATCTTCTGCTCACAGTGCAGAGACGAAAATTAAAATGGTATGGGCATGTCACAAGATCCAAACAATCCTATAACGAACAGTACAAGGAAAGAGAGAGAGAGGAAGGCAGAAAAGGAGATTGGGGGGGGGAAAAAGAGGGGCAGGCAGAAAAAGCAGAGGACAGAGAGAAATGGCGAGGGCGGTGACTGCTTGATTGAAATCAGATCTAAGACATTGTTCTTTTCTTCAAATTGTGATTCCTTCAACTCCAAAACGGAGGAAAAACGATCATTCATAGAAAAGACATCCGCAATTTTCATTTAGATCTAGGCCTCAAAACTAGATCAATGATTTATTATGTCTGTCTGTATAGATCTAGACATTGGCCATATAGATATCTAGAAGAACCTAGGTCCACCCTGAGCCAAGAGAGCGCTGAAACTTTCCGAAATCACAAAGAGTTCCCCTACCGGGTCTGTATACTTCGTGACTTTGTTCCCGGTTGGCCACCTCTATTCTCACCCGGGGTGAGAATAGTGCAGG